AAACACCGTCTACTCCTCACACTCGATGACATATTTCTCAACAACACTCTATAGTTAATTCCTCAACACACCTTCCTTCAAAATTCACTTTATCAAGATGTCCTCACTTCCATCAGCCAGATATGAAAGCAATTACATTAGAGTAAAACCGATTATTATCCACTGCACTCGATCACTCGATCAGGTTCTACCAAATTTTCTCGGGCATTCGATCGGGGGTCCTCTCGATCATGCTCATATCCATCACTATTCATACCCCCGCAATAACAGGGAAAAGACATGTCTGTAGAACCTTCTTGGTAAATCCCGAAGGATTCCAGGAAAAAAGAAGAAATCTCCAAGAACATTCCTAAAATTTCCACAATCAACCGCAGCATACTAGTTACAAGCAACCCTAACGACACGGTTAAAATGTGGGGGGCATTGCTCACTTGAATGGGGGTTTTTATTTTATGATTTCATCTGGTCCTTGGTCGTATCTTTCGGGTGATGTGGATAACCCCACTGGATACATAGCCTCAAAATAGGAAAGACATGTCTACATCAACAGCTGCTTCCTTCACACATAATCCAGATCTTTTCTCTGATATCCCTGGCAGGCACATTCTCCGACAAATGAGGAAGAAACGAATTCTGCGCAGCGGGCTGGGACCTATGCCGGCATGAAGAGAAATATAACCACAAGAAGGAAATTTATATACACATACATGACTTGTGTTTTGGGAAAATTGGGCGACAAGAAATACCGATACAGAAAGGGAAGGTGAATATCAGATGAGACCATGCACAGGGGGGAGCTCGAAGGATTTACGTATCCTTCGAGGCAGACAGCAGAATCGTGTGAGACTTGTACGCTGACAAGTAATTGATAGTCAGTTCGAGTCGATATGACGTTCATGCCTCATAGTTCCCTTCAGCCGGCCTATCCCCGAATGGCTCACCGCCACTGTGCTAGATACTTCTGGCACCATTGACAAATTTGAAGCCTATGTTGGCTTCCCCAGCCGCACCGATAGACATCGTTGCTCCGATGATATGGTTCATTAACAGATAAGTGTGAACCAAGTGACTAAGTGTGCAACATGGGATAACTCATCTAATAGTGCACAAAATTAGGTGAAAAAACCGTAGAAATGTTTGTGAGAAGGGAGACTAAAAGAATGTTTTTTTACTTGTTTTGGTCCAGTATTGGCTTGGTTACGCTACGTTGCATACTCAGTTACCAATCAGCCCACCTGGTTCACATCTATCTGTTGTTGAACCATACATGTTATGTTATTTTGAGAATCACATCCCCGAGGTTGGAGGACGAAATTAGGAATGTGTAGAATCAAATTGGCAAGGGGTCGTAGGGGTTCGCAGTTTGGGAACACCATCTTGTGCGCTGGATATAAATATATCAGGATCTAATGAGGGCAGAAATGCACTCCGTTCTCCTATCAGTGGTATTACTTTTCAAACAAATTGGAAGGACGCATAACTAACCTACCCTACTGCTTCAAAGAAAGAAAAACGCAATAGAACTGTGGAAAGATATTATCAACCTCAAGTTTCTCATCATGGATCCCCCATATCAGTGCCCCCATCGGGCACTCCATCCCCTCGTCCAATCGACATAAAACACTCCCAGCCAACACCGCCCCTGCAATTTGAGATCACTTCCTCAGATAACTTTTGCCATAAATTCTATCTCGAATTTTCGAGACCACAGAAGCATCCACTACCAGCTAAGATCATCATCTCGAGTAAAAAACCCGAAAGGAGGTATCAAATACTTCGCTTGACCATTTCCATTCCTTCTTTCTTTCCGGTAATCTTCTAAGATCTTTGCCTCTTGGAGAGTTTTTCTTTTCTTCCTCCGTTTTGGCTTATACCGCTCTCTCCAGGCCCCGGCATATATTTCGATGAGCGCCCTCCGAAAACTCCTCAGATTTCTCCCTTTTAACTCCATGTTCCCTACCCGCAATTTCTCCCCAGGACCAGCTCCCGTAACCGAAAAGGACAGAACATGAGGCATAGGGCTATTGCAGCAGCGATTGTCCTCCCAGCCAAAGATGCATTAAATTCGTGATTACCGCGAAAGTAGGGGGTCGAGCAATTTGACGAGTGATCCTTCATGATACCCAGTCACAGGGTAGAGAGGGTCTTAGGCGCCATCAAAATTATCCCTTTTTCCCTGTGCAATACTACTTGGAAGTGACCCGAAAGTGTCTCCAACTTGCGGGGAACCCTTCCTGGGCGCCTGCTTTTCTTTCCATCCAGCACCGATAGGGACGGAGATGTCATAGCTGTAGCCACGTTACACCCCCTTGGGCTAGCAAAATTCCAGGAAAAAAAATTCCAACGGGAGACCCAACTCCGCTGAAAATTTCACGCTATTTTGTAGTACGCTATCAGATATATCTTGTCTCCCTCCCTAGTTAGTACACATACCCGGTTCTGTGGAGAAAATAAAAATAATAAAAACAATTCACTATCAAAGTAATAAATCATCACAAATGCCCCGTTTCACGCGCCACACAATAATATATAAAAAACAACACTTTTCTCAAGGATTCGATCCCAACTGGAACCCGAACCCTCCTTATCGAGCGCCGTCTTCAGATGAACTCGCTGTCAAGCGTACTGATGAAATAT